CAAAGTTTTTGTCAAAAACCAAAGGGGGGGCGCAGTGGAATGAGTATGGTAACCACTGTCCTCGAATAAGAAGTGAAGCTGTGAAGACTTTCTGATGTGATTCTTATAAAAAATAGCATGACCCCCCTTTTTTTTCTTTTACTAGAATAAAATTGTGTTAGACTGTACCTTAATGTCTCCACTGAGACAGAACCAGCTGAGTCAAGCGCTAAAGTTTAAGAAAGTGTTCAGTGAGCAACTATTTAAAAACCAATAGAAAGGTCTAATCTTCCAGTGTTTAGAGTAGTCACTGTCCTTGACGAGTAGAGTTCTTATAATTCTCGTTAGGAAAAAAAAAAAAACGAAATAAGGAAAATGGAACACAAAGACACTCGGGAGGGGACACTTGCGGTGTAGCTTTCAGATCTTCCTATGTTTTTTCACTCAAGGCAGGTCAAAGAACATATCTCAGTCCAAGTGTCTCTTCCTTATTGCAGCCACAGTCTACTCCGTGTCCACTGTCAAAATAACATTCATTTGCCAAACTGCATTTAATTGGCACCACACAGACGATTCATTTTCAACTGTAGTCTGTAGTCTTATCCTGACAAATGTCCTTCATTGTCCGTCCATACAGCAGTCCCTTTGTAAATTTCCCCATTATGCGTTGAATAAAGGACTTCTTAATCTTTATCATCGTCAACATCCTTTGTCCGATATATTCACTCTTATCCAATCCATCCCAACCTGACCTCTCTCTCTCTCTCTCTCTCTCTCTCTCTCTCTCTCTCTCCCCATCTCCAAACTGATCAACCTTATTCATTTTCATTTTCCTTCACGTTAATAAAAACATTTCAAGATCGAGCTTTTACAAAGATACCCAGCCTAAAGGTTGACAGCACATTATAAAAAGCAACTTAATTAGTTAACAATATCAGTTAAACATAGTGGTTTTTTTTACTAAGTGTAACATCGACTAAAAGTGCTGGTATGAAAAATTAAAAACCTAAGTAAAAACAAATATAGATGAAGAAAGGCCCTGTCCAAAGGTCTCACTCTCTCAGACTCCAAATGAAAAAAGTTCAGACTGTTTCGGTTCAACAAAGATAAATCAACTTCCACAATTCAATTCTGACATAACATTTGATTTTTGAACAAGAACTTCCCACTCATTGTAAATTACCGTTAATTTTGCATCATATTTGGATGTGTTGTTTCATGTTTTTATAGTTCACTTTGTATTATTGTCTTAAGGCGAGGTTATTATTCTGCCCTTATTTTGAATGTTATAGACGGCATCTTTATTTTGAAAGAACCTAAATGGGAAACAAGAAGGGAGTCCGATGATGTTTCGTTTTTTGTACGTCAACGAGTGTGGACGTATTTGTGTTATATGAGACCGACGGCGGTTTTATTTTTATTAGTACGTGGCTGAGAAGGGCACGCGGTACGTTTTGTTATCGTGTCTTATCTTATATTATACTCTTATAACTTTTGAAGAGAGAAATAATTTCTTGTTTCTGATTTTTGTTTATTTCTCCTTTTTATAGCTCCTGCGGTGTTTTGGGTGTGTTCAAAGTGTCTCCAGTCACGACTGTCTTATAAACCTCCCTTGTTAACTGTCCTACTATTGTTCTGCCATAAATCACCACCGACGCCCGTCTTCTTCTAGTCCACCCTGCCTACATCCTATTTCCAGGCTCATTTATGGATAGTAAGCATTCTTTAAAATGCTTACTTCATGCTAACTGCAATACTTTAAGTAAATTCCTTTAATATCACGTCTTAAGCATAATTGCTTAAAATGTAAACTAAAAAAAAAAGGTTGATAAACAAACCTTCTCCGGGTGAAAACGAGCCGAAGACTCTTGCAAAGTTTTCCTCCTCCTTATTTTGTTCAGTGTAACTTTGAAAAAAAATTGCCAAAACAGTAGAGTTCGTGGGTGTGTTAACAGCAGGACAGGCAGGTGGTGGCAGTGACAAGTACAGCTGGGCCAAGAATCAACCCCAGGACATAAATAATTAGTAGGGAAGCATTGTGATAGAAGTGTCACAGTGTGACATTTGTAGAAGTGACTACAAATGCTCACTCACAAACAACCCTCCGATGTGACAACCTTCCATACTCCGTAATGACACCTCGGATCGGTTTTCAAAGAAACACCGAGATTTGAATCTTCCGATTCAGATCAGATCTTTAGAACAGATCAAAGACTTCCTCTGACATCATCATGACATCACCAGGCAATATGGCAAGAACTTCAAAGCTTCCAACATATGCAACATGGTGCCTGACTGTGAACTACCCACAATAAGAACAGCACCCAAGTAAATTCAACCCTTCGACATATCAGACTCAGAAACACAGAGTAACTACAGCAAAGTGTGTTGAATTCTGGCTCGGGAAATGGAGGGTTCTTCCCATATGCATCCATACAGGAGGGACACGAGACAGATGAGAGGTGTAAAGAGGGAATACTACGCGCAGGGCCAGGAAAACAGGAACTACAAACGCCCACCATACAGGAAGGCACCCAAATATCAGGAGGAGCTGAACTGGAGGATCCGACTTTGCCGGGAGTTGGAGGACACGAGGCGACAGCTGGCCAGACAGAAAGCCCTGAAAGAACTGTACGTGAACAAAGTAAGAGAAACACAGCTGGAGCTGGAGAGGCTGCAGAGGTGCAATGGCGCACAGGCCTTGAACGCCACATGGACACTCAACCAGGGTAGCTGGACCAACAGGCAGAGGACTAAAGACTTGGAGCATAACGCGGTACACCGAGTGAGCAAACCTCCTCAGGAACGAGTGGAGACAGTCGTGGTTTCAAACCCAGAGGTCAGCCAGAGGTGCGAGGATCCGCAACGTGCCATTGACCTTCAAGGTGACCTTGACGTGGCCCATGTCGTTTCTGCAGGCACTGTGGCCACCAAAATGCAACCAGACCCACACCTTGTGCCTGAGAGGAAACTCCAGAGTGGGAAGACAGATGAGAGGGAGAAGTCAAAATGTGGGAGGGAGAAAAACAACGGTCTTCAAGAAGAGCTGGAGCAACTGAGGGCTTTGTACCAGAAGATTCTCAAGGTCAGCCAGCCTGCTGAGAGAGAGAATGTCAAGTCGGACCCGGAACAGGACACTACGACGCGGGTTGACAGTGTCAAGGGATCGGCTCCAGATCTAGAAGACTAAGCACTAAATATTACGGATGTGCTTCGGTGAACGTGGCCGCAAAGTTCGGAAGGAAAGGTGCGATTTTTGAGGTTGTCAAAAAAACCAAAACATACAGATAAAAAATATGGATAAGAAGAACTCTTCATCCTATAGAGGACAGAAGTTTACTGTACATTATATTTATTTGATTTAAATTGAAATCACAATGGACCCTGTCTACAAATCTTTGTGCGCACAAAGGTAAAATCATAATTATCGATTTGTTTGATTTTAATTCTACACAAATGGTAAGTGCGCACAGGTAAAAAGGTAAAATCATAATTATCGATTCGTTTGATTTTAATTCTACACAAATGGTAAAAACAAGGGTTAGACCATTTTTTTTTTCCATTTTAAAGAATAATTTAATATTTTTAATTAAACTAATACGTGATTTAAGTCATTTGACAACATTGACAACGTTGTTTATCGACCCCTTATGGATTCATTCTGTATGTCAGGACTTTGACATTTGAATTAGTTTACTTAGTAAATACAGTCTTTAACAATAAGAAAAATAATATAATTTGCGTACATTCTTAATTGGCCTGTAGTGGATTTACTTACCTGCTTAAAGATATTTTCTTTTCAGGCTTTTAAGATGCAGAAAACGGGAATGATGGGAACTTCACTCCTCAGCCTAAGCACAAACGTATTTATTTATTTATTTATTTATCTAACTTATTTATGTATTTATTTATTTATTTTGCTGTTATTGCGGAGGAGGTGTTCGTCTGTTGATTTAATACACGTCATTCTCCACTTCTGTTCCCTGATTTGTGATTGAGGCCCATTGTGATTCAAATTATTCTTACAGTTGAGACGTAACAGGTAGCTATATACAGAGTACAAATATATACTATAGACTGGAGAACATAGCACATGGTAGCAATAATTAGGCATACACTCGTCTGCCACACTGCAAAAATCATGTTAGCTGTGTGGAGTTGTTTCATAATAAAAAAAAAAGAAAAATCTAAATATGTTGAGTGATTTTCCTTTTCTCTTTCTTAGTAGGTTTCAAAATATTCTAGCGATGGGATGGCTAGATACAACTTTTTTAATATCCGATACTACGGAGTATTTTCCGATAGCGGTATTAATTGATAACTTTGCAAATGTGTGTTCGTGTGAAGCAAAATCTGAGAGATAGCAGTACTAAGCAGTAATATGGAAATAGAGGAGAAAACCATCCCTGAATTTATGCTATAAATCCTAAAACAGCAGACCGCCTCCTCTTTCTTCGTGCCCTTTACTCCCCTCCTCCTCTTACTTCAATCACTCCACTCCAGAGATGATCCCATCAACCGCTCTGGGCTGATTATCCCGTAACCACACTTAGAGAGGGACGCCCAACAGATCATGCACGGAGACAAAGAAATGCTTTTGAGCTTAATTACATTAACAAGAAAAAATAAATAAATAAATAAAACGCTATTCCCATTATTGAGGCTCGCGGAAAAGCTTGTTAGTCTTAGCCACAGAAAAATGTTACTAATCATGTGAGGATGATTTAAAAGGGACAAAAAGCTGATATTTTACAGCTCCAACAGACACATGTAGCAATTAAATTACAGCACAAAGATCAGTTGATCGGTTTCACTGATGTTGGTTTTGGTTCTTTGTTGAAATTGTCAGTAATGGACGTAATGATGTGCAATGGATTCTATTAGCCAGCGGTCCCAAACGGTCCTTTTTCGTACAGAAAACTCTTCAAGACTTTATTCTGTTAGTATCAGAGTCTGAATGATCTGTTGTTTTGAAACATTGACAGATTATCTTTCAACGGAAATTGTAAAAGGATATGACTGGATTCAATTTGAATTATGTAAATTAGTGTTCCACTGCAGCCCACTAACCAAATGACCAATCGACACCGGTCCCCAGACCAGGGATTGTGAACCCCTGCTATAAGTGACCCCTAAGACTGGAAATTTGGATTGAAAGAATCTTGCTAATCGCATTTAACTCCAAAATTGAGTTAAATTCGGGCAGAAAGAGAAAAACAATGGACCACAGACAGACGGGGCTCAGTGCTGTATATAGTGCATCAGTCATTTATCACAGTTAACCAATACTTACTGAGTTCAGGCTGACATGACTCTATGATAAAAGAGTTCTGACATTTGGCTCCGGGAGTTGACTGATGCAAATGCCAAATTGATTGTGAAGGACTGTACACTGATTAATACTGTTGAGGACAACAGCGCCAATGAAGTGTTGAAAGACATATTGACTTGAACAACAGGTCAACACATACATACATCTACCTGCTGTTATATCAGTTCCTGCAATATACTTTTTAAAAATAATATTAAATTATATTTTTTATATATACAGTATATTGGCCATATTGGTCATTATATGTATATTATGTACAGTATACAGTATATATTTACTGTATATATATACACACATACATATAAATACATATATTTATATACATACACACATACATACATATATGAATATAAATGTATGTATATATGTACATATATTTATGCATATATGTACGTACGTTTATATGTATATAATATATACACACACAAATTATATCTATTAAAGATTATATATTCCAAAATGAGTGTGATTAATGTGTGCAACATAATAACATCCACTGTCCACTGATTTTCCATGACTTATTTGATTCATTTTTAGATTGTTCATAGCTTTCCAGGAGTTATTATTATCTGTCTTAGATGAAAATATTAATGTTATTTTTAGTCACTAATTGCCCAGCTATTCAACTACAGTTCTGCTTATCTGCCAAATCACAGGAGTCTATTTCTGGTCTGGTCGCAATCAACTGCATCATGACCATCGCAGTGTTTTAATAGATTTCCATTTCCAATGGTTTCAAATATAGACAGCAGGGGGTTTTTAATATATATATTTATTTTTGCAACTCGCAATGTCAAAGTGAGGCACATGTTTGAGGCTTTCACGTAGACTGAACCGTGTCTGCAGGTGTGTGTGTGTGTGTCCAGACAAACGACTGTAAGACGCTGGCGTGTGCCGACAGGTCAGAGGTCACGGCTCACTGCAGCGGGTGCTGTGCCCAAGTCAGATGACCCTGAGACAGAGTCATTTGTCACAGTGAGTGCCTCGGACAGATTGGAGAGATTAATCGACCTTATGGATTGCTGTTTGTTTGGCGATCAATAATGTGTGAGCGCTCATGTAAAATGGAGGTAGGAATTGAACCCGTGATAAACATTATTATATTAAGCCCCATGTAATGTGGTAAACTAACATCACGACTGTAAGTTACTCCTGTGTGGACTATTCTTTCAGATTAGCTTTATAAGATATTAGTGGGAAATGGTCAACACAACAAAAGCTGTACTTTCTAAATAACAGATACAAATGGAACTCTGACCAAGAAAACAACAAACAAGTACCACTTCAAAGTCAACATAGGACGGTACGGTGCAGCATTCAAGAGCGGTGTCCATTTAAAATAGCCTAATAGTCTAATCATCATGAAGAATGCTTGAATTTTCTTCGTTGACTAGATAGAGTTTAATTTCTGCGGTTTAATGGAATTTCTCAAAGCAATCTGGGAACCAAAAGGCCAAAGTCTAATTTCCCCCCAGCTTGCAGGTCAACAGGGAGGATGATTTACTGAAGGGCACCTTCTGAACCGAGCAGATTCCTGCTCCCACTGTGCACTATCACTATCACTATTGCTCCAAGGTAGAGTTTCAGAATTGGGGAATAAGACATGTGACTATCAGCTTATAGAGAACTTACAACTGAAAAAGAGACAAATGGGTGGAAGAATAGAAGTATGAAGGATGGTTGGATGGATGATGCCAACTGCTATTACGAATGAATGGATGAAAGATTAACTGATGGATGGACAACTGCTAAAAAAAGAATGGATGCATGGACGGATGGATGATTCTTCTTTTTCTTCTTTTTCCTTCGGCTTATGGATGGATGATTAATCCATCATAATTTTTTTTAAAGAATGTACATTTCAGCTTTCAAAAATAAAGCTAACGAAACAAAACTAAACCTCAAACTGTTTATACGTTTTCCTTGTTTCCCATAACAGCAGTAGAAGGCAATAATAGCTGGTGAAAAAAAAAAAAAGAAAAAAAAAGTGAGTTGGCTGATAACACAGTGAACAACCTTTACATCCATGGGGTGTAAGTGAACACACCGCTGCATCCTTGCATCTCCTGATCATCCAGCACTCCACTCAGCCACACAAGCACGCTCAAATTGTATACAGTAAATCAGCTTCATTGTGCTATCATTGCTATCATTCGTGTTAATCTCCGGTTTGGCTGGTTTTTTTCTTTTTTTTCTTTTTTAACCCATCATTTCGCCGCATCACTGTGAAGGACGTCTGCCATCGAATGATAAAATGTGATGGAGACGACTCTTAAATGTCTTAACGTAGTGTTGTCGTGGATGTGTTTACAGGCCCACAAAGCAGTACTAATCTTTATGGCTGGTGTCCGCATTCAGCCTGAGCAGATGCAGTGCAGTTTTATCAGAGGTAGTATCGACTAACCGGTTCTATTAATGTAGCTCTTCTACCGAGCTACAAGAGAGTTGGGACACCATTAAAACATGCCCAGAAGGATTTGACCCAATGCTAGCCGAGGCGATACTGGAAGTATGAGCATTATAGCAAAAAGTTTAGATGCGAGAATGTAAAAAAAAAAAAAAAAGGATGTACGCCATACATTGGCTTGTGCTACATTCACTTTCACTCTTTTGTGTTTTGTTTCTTTGGGAACTTTTTGCCTTTCATCAAGACTCCCAAGCATAAGTCAGACTTTTGTCAGATGTTTTTATGTCCTTGATCAGGCATGGAGAAACTAAGGCCCGGGGGCCGGATGCACCACATTTGGTCTTTTTTGCGGCTGGCAAAAGTCGTCCAAATTATGTTTTTAATTTATATTATCCTTATACATCTGCCTTTCCCAGAGGCAAAGGCTGTGCTAAAAGGCGTTAGCATTTTAGCCTTTGCATGACTTTCACTTAATCCACACAAACACTCCATCTATCTGCTCCTGACCCGGCCCACCTGTCAAATTTTCAGACCAATGGTCGGCCATGAATCAATAATATAATATAACACTTGTCCTAGATTAAACTGAGACCACTGTGTTAACGTAGGTGAGTGACAAATGTACTCAGACCTCAGACAATCGAGGTACGTTCGCCTGAAGGAATGGAACTCCCTCTTTATCCTTTTTAATCTGTTTCGAACAATCCATACAGACATTTTGAAATATTTGGAGTACTTTACAACCTTTTTTTTATTGAGTGATCCAATAACATTAACTTTGACCACTGACACTTTAACCCTCTCAAGCTCCAGAGACTGATTTTGTAAAAGCACCGTGACACACGGGTCTACAGACTAATTAACTCGAAGACGTGATTTACCATTTTCATGTGTCGTATTTCTCTCATACACCTGCTGCCTCCACGCAGTAAAATTGTTTTGTTTGTTTTTCGAGTCATTTGCATTCAGTCAGGGAAAAAATCCATCACTGCATGTCAGACATTTTAAAAATATGGGCCAGGCTCTAAATTATGACTTCACATCGTCAGACGTTTTTTATCAAAGAATCAATTATTAAATTGCCCCAAAAACATGGTGTTGAGACTTGATTAGATTAGATGGATGGATGGATGGATGGATGG